ACAGCGTTGTATTGTCCACGAGCGCAAACTTCATTATCAGCAGTAACTGTTACTCTTCATCCTACATGTAGATTTGGAGTATACACGGCCTTGTCACGACAGCGACAGCTCTACAGAGTGTTCAAGTGAGAAACATTAATTTCTATTGTTGGTGGACGAATAAATGGCTGGTTCCGAAAAAACACGGCCTGCACCGATGGTGTTTGGTGGATCATCAAACAGGGTGACCAGCAGTGTTCACCGAGGAAGGAGAATGCACTCGCCACCACTGCGATTCATCCAAGTGGGCGTTAGCTGCGCCGCGCCTATTGTGTTTTAGTATTCCATGGATGCACACTAGCGTTCTCAGCGATTGTGGAGCCACAACATATCTTCATGCGGCTTTGCACTGTCCAAGAGCAGAAACGTCAGCAGTGACCCTTCATCATACATGTAGATTTGGAGTATACACACCATGCGCCAATGGGCCTTGGCACAACAGCGGCAGCTCTACGGAGTGTTCAAGTGAGAAACATTTATTTCGACTTTTGGTGGACGAACAAATCGTCGGTGCCGAAAAACGTGGCCTGCGCCAAATTGATTTTGCAAGTCTTCAATCATGTCTGCATGTACGCGCTATCCAATCCAGCCATGTGGCGTGAACAGATTGCTTGACGTGAAAGGTAGCGCGGCCGGGCGAGCGCGAGTCGTACGCGCTCGCGGACGTGTCTGGCACGTGAAACGAAAAGATTTTTTTGGCGGGTAGTCGGCAAAAATTAAGTGACGGTCCCTTTAGTCCTCCGCCAATGTGAGGGAGAGTGCGTGACTAGGTAACCATGGTGATATAGATACATGCACGTACTGATCCCGATTTTACTCATTGCTCTTTTCTGATGATCGCTTAGTGCGTGAAACTGAGAGTAAAAACACTTTCTCTGTCCTCCTATTGTTTGGTAGATACTTATACAATCATGTAAGTTTTGTAAACGGAAGAGTAGCAACAGCAAAGTATCATCAGCTCATGTTACTGTCGATGTGTACTGTGCTGATAAGGACTTTTCTGAACAGCATATGGAAGCGATTCAGAAGAGTTGTTAATATTTCATGACGGTTGTTTCAAGTGCTGAGACATCCAGAAATATGCCAGCTCTGTTCAATGATTGAAATAGTTCCATACG